TGCTGTGGTATGGAATACTTCTTTGGTTAGTTTTGGTCAGGTGTCCTGTCTCTGCTTCCTCCTGGCTTCCCCTCCTCCCTGTCAGAGCACGAGACTCAGAAAGTCCTTGGTCAGAGTAAACATTACTTAGCAACAACTAAAAACATCGGTGTTATCAGCTCTGCTCCCAGGCTGAAAGTCAAAACCACAGCACTGCACCAGCTACTAAGAAGGAGAAAAATGACTGCTACTGCTGAACCCAGGACACTATCACAGGAAGAGGGGTTGGTCTGACTCTGGTTGCTAACAGCAGCAGTCCCAGACTGTCCCAGCAGGCATCACACTTCGATATGAGTCTCTTCAAGCTTTAGCTGCCCTAATGCACCAGCCTTACTGAGTGTCCCCATTTCACTGCTGTTCAGCCAGGGAGCTGTAAGCACAGGACTGCATTTCTGGGACACCTGCAGACAGTTTTGTTTCAGAGCTGTTCCCTCTGGCTGCCAGCAGTGCCTGTGCCATGCATATCTCTACTCACACCCCTCTGCCTTTGCCCCATGCTCACTCACCTGCCCCATGCCACCCAAGAGAGCTGAAAATGAAAGCGAGTATTTGTATGGGAGGCCAGGCAGCAACTCAAAATGTTTGCCCGCTATTGTTATGTAGCCAGAGAAAGCGCATGGGAAGTGCAACCAGTGAGAATGACTGCACAGACAGCACCTCTGTTGTGGGGTTATCTCTTCCTGTTATCTCAAAAACTACATTTCAGAGGCACCAAAGGCAGAAACTGTCTAACAATATCACCCAAAACAAAGGCACACAAGGCATCAGAACCATGTTGAGATCAGTGCTGCTGACAGGCAGGTTGGCAGAGCCAAACACCTTAATTATTTCTCTGCTCTAGTCTTTGCCCTCTCCTTCCCTCCACATATACTTCAATTGAACCAGCAACTTTTACAGCAGCGATGACGTGTCAAGGTGGGGAGAGCAGGGCCTGCTGGCACCACAGGCTCTGAGCAGATGGGGCTCAATGCATGCCCAGCAAGACTTGGAGAAAGTGGACTCACCATCAGCCAGGCGACAAGCAAAGAGGTGTATCCCTCTTCCATCCTTTCTGAGACAGGGATCATGCCAGACTGCTGACAGCAGCAAAGCAACCTCGAGCAGGTCTTCCCAGGGCATGCATGATGAAGAGAAACTGTGCTCTGAAGCCAAAGGAGCACCTTGGCAGCCATACTGCCCTGAAGTTGACATGTGTATAGGTGGAGTGCCGAGTGCTGACAGAGGAAAAATAAGCCAACCAGAGTGGGCATTTGTCATGGTTTAAACCCAGTCAGGTAACTCGTTCACTCACTACCCCCTTCTTTCCCTCCCCCTGCTCTCGGAGGGACGGAGAGGAGAATCGAAAAGAATGCAACTCCCACGGGTTGAGATGAGAACAGTTTAGTAACTAAGGTATAACACAAATCACTACTGCTACCACCAATGATAATAATGATAAAGGAAATAACAAGGGAAGAGAATACAACACCTCACCACCCACTGACCGATAACTCGCCCCCCAAGCCCGACCAAGCTCCAACCGATCCCTCCTCCAACCCTGCAGTCTCCCAGCCCTTCCGGCTAACTCCCAGTTACATCCTGGGCATGACGTGCTGTGGTATGGAATACCTCTTTGGTCAGTTTGGGTCAGGTGTCCTGTCTCTGCTTCCTCCCGGCTTCCCCTCCTCCCTGGCAGAGCATGAGGCTCACAAAGTCCTTGGCCAAACCAAAACATCATTGTTATCAGCTCTGTTCCCGAGCTGAAAGTCAAAACACTGCACTGCACCAGCTACCAAGAAGGAGAAAAAATGACTGCTACTGCTGAACCCAGGACATCATTTCATAGGAAGGAAAGCTAGAACAGAAGTTAATGCTGTAGCAGTGTGGCCTGGGGAAGTGTCACAGGAGGTGAGAACAAGGCAACTGGCCATGGGATTGAAAAAGAGGAGGAAGCAGGAGGCCCAGCAAGGCATCCAATGCATGCCCCCTGCCCAAAGGGTAAATTGCAGCTCAGATGTATGCTTTCCAAGAAAGAGAAGCCACATCCCAGGACTGTGAACATAAAATACACAACTCAAATCCTGATTCTTGGCTGTCCAGCTTGTCTTAGGCAGCTGTTTGTGTGCCTTCCCATCCCATTGTAGCTGCCCTGTTGTCCAGTGTGCTACATGCACAGAGCCTGACCTATCTGCTGGCCAGCTCAGCTAGTACCTGCCCTCCTCCTCTACCCCAAACCCCAGCTGGGAAGCCCTGAGCAGTAGCTGGCAGATACCCAGCTGATCCTGACATGACGTAGCTCCTCATGCACCTGCTCCTCTCTGCACCAGAAGGTCAAGGGGAGCAGCAGCGATGTCATGGTGCTCTGCCACAGGCTTTGGGAAGGCTCATTCGCTCAAGTCCCTGCTGTTCCTGGGGAGAGAGCAGCTCCCTTTGCCAAGGAGGAAAACTTGAGGTGATAATGTCTTGAGGTCTGTCAGAACTTGAGGTCTGTCAGAATGGAGAAGGGAGCTGGGAGGCAACACAGTTCCAGCTGGGGTTTATTTCCTTATCAGAGCCTGACTTTTTTTTTTGCAGAATAAGGATGAAACCTGTGTCTTTTCCCATAGCATCATTCTGTCAAGCATCCCAATGAAGACATTTGAACTAGGCAACGTTTCCTACTTGTCCTTTTATAGGCTCAGAGTTTTATTTTAGAAATTACATGATCTATCTGGCTCCAGCACTGCCTGTGCCAGGAGTGAGAGAGCCTCCCCTGGACTGCTGAAGATCTGGCTGACATACAAGCAGGTCTCTTCTACTAGAAAGGCCATGTTTGGGCAGCAAATGCTGCTGATGTCACACAGATCAAGAGTGAGATAGAAGATTTGTAACTCATATACAACCAACCATTGCTCTTTTGGGTGCACAACTGGTGAGTGCTGCAGGACCACAGCATGACTACAGACCTGCTTGGGTCACTAGACTGCACTTTCCTCCCATTCTCTCAGCACTGGCTCTGCAGAACATCACAAAGTGAAACTGAGCCCTGCTAGCACCCAGGCAACATCAACTACATCTCCCCAGTCAGAGAGGACAAAGCAGCGTCCTTACAGAGCACGGCTCAGCATGTCAGCCCTGCCATCTCATCCCCTTTAAGAAGAATGAGGAAAAACACTTCACTTTGTGTGACTCACTGATAGATGCATCTATGAAAGAAGAACCAAGAAAGGTTGCAATGAGTATCACTAGAGCCCATCGCTTCCTCTTATTTCTTAGGTCACACTGTCAGCTTGTTTTTCAGAACTAAAACATCCTCTACAGCATAAACCCCTGAGATTCGAATGCTCCATGACACACATTCAGAAGAATTGCTGACTTTTCAAGCAGGCACCAAGTAGAACTGGGGACTGTACAAGTATCATCCATTGCAGTGCATCATGAACAAACATGAGACTGACAAAATAATGGTGACTATCAAAAAACAGGTGTCAATCAAAAATAAGCATTGTTCTGATAAGACTCCCCTTCTGCAGGGTACTCTGTGCTCTTAGTATTTGCTTGTTTGCCTGGTGGAGGACTGTGTTTTGGTGCAATTCCACAGAACAGGGCTAAATTAATCTCTCTTTACTTAGCTTTGAGCCTCTTGGCACATAAAAAAGAAACATCTAGCTGAAACATCTAGCTGAAAAGAGACTAGTACCTCAGAGGAGACCTCACTGAGTTGGCTGAGGCTGAGAGTGTTTCTCTCAGCCCATGGTTACAGCAGCCAGTTGTAGGGCAGTATTAAAACATGTACCTCCACGCTTCATTCATGCCCACTGTTGTGGCCTCTGCCCTGCCCTGAAGTCAGGGTGCCTGCTGGTAGCCCTGCTCCCCAGGAAAGGGATCTGAGGGCAGCTTTTGGGTGTGTTCAGCCGTCACATACCTGAGACAACAGAGGTTTCCCCAGTTCACATGGTGGTCTCAAGCCCAGTCTTGGGCACAGGTTTGGACCCACTTTATGACCAACAGTATGAAAGCTTCTTGCCTCCTGTTGTTATCCTGGGCTCATCCTTAGATTCAGGCTGCAGTTCCTTGCCAGAAGAGTGAGCACACTTCTCTGCTGGGCTGGAGTCACCCTGGCACCACCTTATGCAGGCGCTGGTGCTCCACTGCAAGGACCTGCACCAAAGCCCAGGCTGGTCGGAAGCCCAGAAGGGTCTCTCAGAGGGTTGACAGAAGCTCACCAATCCTCAGCCATGGGGAAGAAGCATCTCCAAAGCATTTCTGCAGCTGTTAAGCCCAAGACACAGAGAACACTAACCAGTGTCAGGGCATCACAGGAGGAGCCCATCCTTCTCCTCAGGTCCCAGTAGCTCTCCTCTCTCTCCCAGGAAGGACGGGCTCTCCTGTAACCATGTAACCACAGAGAATTCCCAGCTCATCTACTTGCTCAGAAGAGGGTGGTGATAAAGCTCCAGCCACATAGGACAGCCAGAGCATGCTGCCACAGCAGGCAGGTGTGTACAGTAGCTGTGCTCACCTGTGCCAGACTGAGCCCATCAGCTGGGCATCAGTGTGAAACCTGCTGCATCCCTGTTTCCATGGCTAAGGGACCAACATGGTTTTTTTGCCTCCTTCATACCAAAGTGAGATCCAGATACTGAAGTACCAGCACAGGGGTGAACTGAGATCCTTTCCACCCACTCTTATGTTTATTAATTCTCTATAGGGATATAGCGTATGTTACAGAATAAACCATAAAGTGTTTATCAGATGCAACTTCCAATAGCAAAAGCCCTAAAACAAGCTGCATAAAGCCAAGGTGATGCTCCCAGGGCTGTGTCTGACATGGGAGTTCAAGCACTGACCAAGCTCTGGCGGAGGTAGAGACCTTGTCCCTGATAAGTTACTTCTCTGTCCTTGTGCCAGAAGATAAAAATAGTCATATTCCTGGGAAGAAACAAAGGATGGCTGTTTTTTCTCCCCTGATATGTGTAGGATAGTCAAATCTAAAAGATAGTCAAATCTAAAAGAGGTACTATATGTTCTGCCTAATGGAACATGCTGAGCGGATGTCTTGTGCTCTGTGGCTCTTGCAGCTCCCTCCTTCTCCACTTGTGCTTCCCCTTACACCAGGTAGGCCAGTGTAACCGTTTAGACATTGCTCTCTTGTCTCCCTAGCTGTCCCAAAGAGACAGTTGTGAACATCTCCAAGGACCAAAAGAGCAAGTAGTGTTTGTCCAGCACATGTGCGGTGATACAGGTGCAGTTATTGCAGTCCAACCTCTTTCTCTCTTTGGGAGGGAGATCTCTCAGCAGTTCTCTATCATCACCTTGTTATATATGAGGTGCTTACCAGCAAAGGGTCCTGGTCCCTCACCATCAGGAGGAGGCCCTACAATGGAAAGCCATTACAATTCAGACAATAACACTAGTGATCAGACTGCTTGGAAGTCTGTAACACTTGTGTTATAAGCTAATGATTACCAGACTTCTTCTATGACAAAATAAATGTTTGGATAGCCAAACGGACCTATCCTGACAATAAAGTTTAATTTTATTTTTTTAGCAAGGAGTCACAGAAAACTGAGCTGAAATATTCCTTGAAGAGGCCATGCAGCATGTTCCCTGGGCCTCAGCAGGATGAGAATGCTTAATCCGCTGTTTGAAACCCCCAGTGCTGGAAATCCTCTCCCAGAAATCTATTTCAGTACTTCATTTGGAACAAAAAAAAAAACCAAACCAAACAAAAAAACACACCTGACTTAACCCTCCCTGCAACTTAAGCCATGGTAGAGATCGTGAAAAGTTTACTCCTTTCTCACTTGCATTTTTCTACACACGGATGTCCTTCAAAGCTCCCACATCTCCCTTCAGTATCTTCTTCTCTGTGTTTGATGACACCAATTCTATCAGCTTCAGACAAGCATTTAATTACATACAATTATTTTTTAACCCAGGCAGTCATGCATTTGATCCTGAAGCCATGGGGCTGTCCTAATGTGTGGCAGGAGAAACAGAAGATATGTGACAAAACCCAGTAAGATCCTTAGGCCCATATTGTCTCAGTAGGGCTTTAGCTTCTTCTTGGTATAATCCATCCAAGAGGCACAAAGACAACAAGGTATGGTAAAAACAAGTGAACCACAGAAACACACAGATTTCAAGGCTCAGTGCTCCATACCCTACCATGGAGAGACACCTTTGATGAAAAATGGCCACAGGGATGAATGCCCATCACCTTGAATCTCCTCCACTGGGTCTCTTCATCTCCATTTGAGGTTCTCTCTAATTTTCTGCAACAAAAGCTGCCATTTCATAGCTGAGCGTTACGCAAGGTTGGGAGGGAGGGATTCCTGACTGTTGGAAGCTTTCTTTTCCTAGTGCACCGTGGAGCACAGAGACCGCTGTCCCTCCCGGGGCAGATGTTCAAGGTCTCTCTGTGGGGTGGTTTGGAGTCCGCGGCTGAGTGCGGGGTCGGGGTCGTGGAGGCAGTGCTCGCTGCTGTACCTGGGGTTGCGGCAGCGGCCGCCGCTGCACACGCTGCTGCCTCGGGGTGGGATTACACGGCGGCTGCCGGAGCTCCCTCACCATCATCTCACTGTCCATGGGGCGCGCCTGAGTCAAGTGCTCCTCTCCTGCAACGACACGAGCACCCCGCAGTCAGGCACAGCCTGAGCAGAAGTGGGACAGAGCAGAAAGTACTGGGGCCAAGCAAGAAAAAGCCAATGTTGGTCTTACCTAAGACTGCTGTCACTCTCAGGTGTTCCTGCTACTCCAGTCAACAACCAAAATCACCTCTGCTTGCACATCCCAGGCAAACCCAAAAGCTTTTCTTGGCTGCCTGGCTGAGGTCAAGGTACCTGGGGGCATTTGAGGCAGCTCTCCCCTGTCTGTGCTGGGGGAACCACCAGTCACCAGTGGACAGCCCCAGCCTGAGCTGCTCTGAACTGTGTTGAAAACAGGACACTGAAAGCAAAGTGAGATGCAATCACAGGAAGCAATCAGTATCAAAGCACTCTGCCCTGCCAGTATCAGTGCTGGAAGCCAGAGGCCCATTTTGACAGCACTGATTTCCCCATGTGCAGAAGTAAATTCATGCCAGCTGACTCTTCATCACTGCCTTATCATTTCTGTAACATCAGTCAGCTTAGTTTAGGGGTTGAGTCACTTGGGACACTGAAATGGCCTTAAGAACACACAAAACTGTTTCAAAGAGGCTAGTCACTCTCTTATATTAGTTCTCATTTTCCCAGGCTTCTCTTTTTCTTCATTCTTACTGAATCCAGACCCAAGAACTGAGGGCATGCTATTAATGTGCAGTTGAGGAAGTAACGTATCTCACTCAAATAAGAACAGCTATAATGCAGAGTAACACTCAGATGGCTCACACCATCATTATACTCATGAGCTATGGCAAGCCTTCTGAAATGACACCCTGTGGTTGCAATGTGGTGAGCTCTCCCAGTGAATGGGGAAAGCTCTTGCCTATTCTTCATCATCATAACTTTGGGGGAAGCAGGAGGGTAATGGCAAGTTACCCACACTCAGGTGTAGTGAGGTTGCACTCCCCTCAGCCGCAGGACTTGTCATGCTCACCCTTCTTGTCAGCCTGGCCATGGGCACCTTTGAGACAGCAGCTGAGGTTTCTTTCAGGCATCTTGACAGAGATGCCTGTTGTGTACAAAGGAGCTTTTACTCCCATTTTGTAACTCATGAACTGACTCACACAGAGAGTAACTGTTGTTTGAGACCACACAGGAAGCCTGATACACGGTGTGGGGGCAGGACTGGGAAATAAGCCTTTGAACAAGCCCTGACAGGGCAACCTCCCTCCTGCTTTAGCTTCCCAACCTAGAAGTGGGCAAGACAACTCTTCTTGTGTGGCAGCTTAGTGTCTTCTGTCCACCAAAACTAGCAGCAATGCCCAAGTTGTAAATTCAAGGCAACCTCTCTGATAAGACCAAGGGCCCACTCTCAGAGACCACTGGCAGAGCATTTCCCATGGTCTTAAGGAGCCATGAATTTTGGACAACATTTGAAATACCTGCCCACCCTGAAAACCTCAACTCTTTAAAGTGCCCCAGGTGGGGCCACCAGTGTTGACAGACCTCCAAGGACATTGTTCTGTAGAGAGAGCAAGTTCCGTGAGATGCCTGAGGAAATTCACAGAAAAGCTGAGCTCTTCTTGCCCATTTTCACTGTCTGCAGTATTTCCAAAAGTGGCTAATGATTTCAATTTTGCACCATATAAATTTGTCAAAAAATCTGCTGATGGGATACCTAACTGTATATTTTAGCCCCACAGATGTTCATCACTGATGGCCTTAGCCAAGCTTTAGAGGAGCAATTCTTTCACCACGACTAAAAAAACGGCTTGACAACAAGAAGTCTTTTGTTCAAAGCAGTGTATCAGAAAACAAGACTGGCAATGCCAGCGGATCTGCTGAGATTCACCATATGCCAAAACCCTGTTGTTGCTCATACCAAAGTAGAGAGCATACTCCTGCCCACAGGGCTCACTGTCAGCATGAAGCTCTAAGATTTTAGGTGGCTGGTTAGCAACATAAAGCCTCTTAACCACTTACCATCATCTTCCAGCCTTTCTGCTTTCTTCCTCCTGATACAATAAATAAGTAAAATCATGAAGATGACAAAGAAGACTGCACCTCCTGCTATGCTTAAGATGAGATAAAGGTCCAGCTGGCCTAGTTAAGGGAATGGAAGAGGATTTTAGAGAGAAAGAAATAACTTGCACAACATCTGCCTAGAGTTACTGTTTTCTTCTGTCAACCATAAAGGCAGCCCCAGTGAGAGAGCCCATCCTTTGCCTTTTCTCTGTAGACAGCATAAAGTTGCTGGTCCTCATTGTGGAAAATTTTGATTGCTCCCTGATAGATCTAAGTTCTGCAGAAAATTGAAACCATTCATGTGAGCCTGCTCATTTGATTTAAATTACCACAAATGCCCTGTTCCTGCTAGCAACAGATACTTCTAGGGACAATGAGCATGCAGGCAGTGCACAGCATCTAACAAAACTAGACTTTCAAAGTACTTCCTACTGAGCTGGAAACACTGAGACTAGCTCTCTTCAGGGTATTTTGCTACTTCCTCTTCAATTTTTGGCTGTAGGCAAATTTTAAAAAACAGTGAAAAGAACATAACCAAGTATCCCAATCTCAAAATGAGAGTTCAGTTTGCCCAGTGAGAAAAAATTTTTATGACAGTTCCTTATTCTCGCCAGTGAGGTTTGCTGGATGCTGGCCTTCCTCCACCATTTCCTGCTTGGGTTGTCCTTCTGACATCTAGTGTTCATGCTCGAGCACACGTGCTGTGGAGTGAACCCAGCAGAAGTGCATCCTCCTTGGGGGACAAAGTTCCAAAAAGGACAACACCACTGGTATCACTGTTAACATTCACTGGGCATGCATATGGAGAGCAGAGAGTGCAGAGCAGAGAGAGATGGCACAAACAATTTAAGGAAAAGTTCTTTCCTGTGAGGGTGGTCACACACTGGAACAGGTTGCCCAAGGAAGCTGTGAATGCTCCATCCCTGGCAGTGTTCGAGGCCAGGCTGGACAGAATCTTGGGCAACATGATCTAGGGTGATCCATGGCAGGGAGGTTGGAACCGGATGATCTTGAAGGTCCTTTCCAACCCAAACCATTCCATAAATCTATGATTCTATGTCTACAGTATAAAGACCACCATCAGCCTGGGCTGCCCCAGTGGAAAAAAAAAAGACAAGTACCCTCACTAATGTGGTTGTTTTCAACTTTTTTAGCTGCCAGTGTTACACAGAGGTGTATTTTGCCATTTCCGTGCCTGTTTCTCCCAGCTGACTTTAAGGTGAGCCCTGGCAGATTCACACATGGTTCATGCTTAAATGCAGTCAACTGAGCTGAAGCCCATCTGAAATATGCCTTGCCTGCTAAAGGTCAAAATTCAAGGTGATAGGCCCCGAATGCAGGACCAGAAGTTCATGAAGGGCAGCAGGGTTGGAAAGAGGTTTAGTTGCAAGCTGAGGGATTTGTAATCTACTATGGAGCTGGCAGAATCCTGCCACCACACAGAAAGGTTTGAGGGGGTTTTGTTTGAGTAGGAAGGGTAGTCCTACAGATTTTCCTGTGGGTTTTTTTGTGTGTGTGTCTTAGAAATGCTGTATTTGCATTTTGAAGATCAGTGTGGCAAACCTTTTATTTCTCTGTTAATGATGTGAGAAAAAACAAGCTCTTCCTCCCAACTCACCCTGTGAAGGAAGAGCATTTCTGAAGGGTGAGAAGTGAAGTGAAGTATTTAGCTGATGGCTAATGTCTGGCTATACTAGAAATGAAGGCAGGCCCATGCTTGCCTGTCTTGTGCCCTGGGATGGCCACCATTAGACAGCATTTCCTCATTAAGACAACATGTTTGGGCTAGTTTACCCAGGAGACCACTTCCAGTGGAAAACAGCATTGCAGTGTGCTCCGAGAGCCTCTCTGCCATCCACAAGGCTCTTGACTCCAGAAAAAACTCTCTCCCTCTTCCAGTGAGCCCTAGGCCTCTCAGAGGATGGGGAAAAACACCACTAGCCACAGGAGAAGAGAAGGAGCATGGCCCACCTCACATCCCACTGCCCCCAGCTTGGGCTTTCTGCTGTTAAAGCAGGGATGCTGTAAGGGTAGCAATGAGGCTGGCAGCAGCAGGGTGGAGAAGGTGGAGATGCAACAGGGCCAGGGAATGCTAAGCAGGAAGCATGACTCACATCACTGCTACCACAGCAGCATCAGCTGCCAGTAACTGCAGCAGTGTTAGACTTGCACTGCTGGGTACCTGGAACCACTGATGCTTGTGACACCTGGACCAGTCCTACAGATACATACAACTGGGACATGCTTTGTGGGTCTACTTTAGTAGATTCTGGCAAAACCAGAGTTTTTACCTGAGCACTTAGCTACTTTTTCAACCATTTTTTCGCTGACTTGGTTCTTAACAACACATCTGAACGTTCCAGAATGCCGTGTGTGCAATTCCAAACTTGTTGCATTCTTATGTATCTTTTTGCTTTTATCTTGAGTCAGTTCTATTATAAATGTTTCATCTTTAGTCTTCTGCTTCACTTCACACTTGACAAATATAGTTTTGTTCATGCATTCAGCACTGAGGATTGGCTGAGGGACAGGCCCTGAAAAAGAAGAGAAGGCACAGGCACATCTGAGATGGTTCTCCTTTTGAAAACCTCCATTATTAAGCAGAACAGAGTATTAGTGCCCAATAAGCAGCAAGTAACACCAGCTAATGAGACCAGAGAAGAATATAGAACAAATTAGACCTCTACTAGAGAAGTAACGTGGCCATAATAAAGACAATACAGTATATTAGCCTACATATTTTAGCCTGGCAAAGCAGAGCTGTGCCACCACGGCAGGACTACTTTCAGGCTGAGCATGGCCCACAGCCAGCAAGGCAGACAGGGAGAAAGAGAGGAAGTTGTTTTCAGGGGAGACAATGGATGGGAGGGAGTCAGAGCCACAGCCCCCTCCAACACTCCAATGTTTTGATGCTAATGAAGTTGGTTCTAATCTGTCTGTGGCCATCAGAAGAGACTTCTTCTAAGGCAGGACTAAAATCTGCTTGTGATGGTTATGTACTACCAACAGCACCCAACTAGCACAGCGGCAGCAACATGAAAACCCATCAAAACAGAATAGAAAACACAAAACAGAGACACTTCTTAGCTCTCAATGAGGCTATGACAGAAAGAACTGATTTCTGTCTCTTTTTACGTCCCACAAACAGCTAACTGCGTTTTGGTTCCAGATTCTCTATCACTGGTGGCACTGAAAGAGGCAGAAAAGCAAACTGGCAGGGATATCAACTGGGAAAAAAGTTAATTTCTACCCTTTAGACCAGGTAAACAAATCCATGCCAGGGTCACCTCTAGTTACAGGCAGTATAAGTTATTGAGATCAAACATTTTAAAGCCAATAAGGGCTATTAGGTTTGTATCAAAGTATAATCTGACTGACAAATGGCTCTAGTACCCAACAGTTACTAAAGGACTTTACTTCTAAAGCTGTGTGTTGGAGGTAAGGAAACCTCTCTGCTGCACAACAGATGAAAATGATGAAATGATGCAGCACATACCTGGGTTGGAACCTTAACCTGAAATTGAACCCCAATGACAGCTCAGTGGCTTAAAGCATGAGTAAATATCATGAGGCCCTGATGACTTCCTGAATCTGCAGGCCATTTGCAATAGTAATTCCCAAAGGAGTGAGACACCCTTGCTGCTCAGCAGTTCATTAGCCACAGAGCTTCACACTGCAGAAACCCTGCTAAAACTATTCCAGATGTCGTTGCTGCCTTATCAAGGCAACACTTCCAGAGTGCCAGCTGGTGCCCACAAACTCTAGAGGTTGGCAGAAGCATGCACCCTGGCTGAAGAAGGAAGAGCAAAATCATTCCATTGCTGGAAAAAAAAAAAACAAACCATGATGCCCCACAGTTCAGAGGTCTGGAAAGGTGAGAGCATCCATAAGAGAGCAGAATAGCCATCCCACCTTTCTTACTCATCCCAAAAGCCTTGGACTGCTACCATTCAAGACATCATTCAAGACAAGATACAGCACAGGATTGGAGGATGTCTTCATGCTTGGAGCCCTCATAGCTGAAATCCCCAGGCAGGTGCTTAAGTGTGCTTCAAACAGAGCAATCTTTATATTTGTGGTGTTATGTGATGCAAGGATAGGGTAGAGAAGTCTTCTGTCTCTGGAAATTCAACTATTGTGCTGTTTGTCAGAGGAAGTGATTGCTGGCTATTTTTTATGTTAGAGCAAAAATTCAGTGGGACTGCATTGCATAAATACAGGCATTTAGTGCCACCTGAGCTCCTGAGCACTTCTCAGGAACTGGCAGATGCAGTGCAAGGTGCTCACCTACCTAGAGCACTGGCTGGACACCAAAAGTCATAGCTCACTACCCATCAAATAACACCATAAGTTCTTGCTCTGCTCCCACAGGAGGTTTCTGGAAGCAGGGTGCTGCTGGGAGCACAGCCCCACCTGCACAGTGATAACCCAGCTCAGGCCCCATCAAGGTACTGCCTGAGGTGCTGTAGTGGGGTTGACCACACTCACCCTGATGTGCTCATGGTTGCTTTCTTGGGCACATGTGAAAACATGGTGGCCAGCAAGGAGGGGAGCCAGAAAGAAGCAGGGGACCAGAGGGCATCAACAGAAGCAAGGAAAGGAGGAAGAGATCCAGATTGCTGTCAGTGGCAGAAGGAAGGAGGTGCATCTCACAGAAGTTCCCTCCCCACAGAAAAAGCAGAAAGGGTGACAGTGAACAGGAAAGGCTGTAGGATAGAGAGGAAATACCAAGTCTGATTCAGCTATGATAAGAATTGTATGGGAAGAGCAAAAACTCACCCTGAACGATGAACACTGTATGTTCTTCTGCCTTCCGTTTCCCATCCTGCTCATAAACAGTCACCGTGTAATTTCCACTGTCCTCTTTCACTGCCTGCTCTATCTGCAGAGTCCCATTTAGGAATATCTTGCACCTGCACTGCTCCTTGTTCACATAGTACTTAACTTTCCTGTCTTTTATCTGAAGCAACCTTTTTCTGTCTTTCATCCATGTTGCATCATATACACTCCCAGCAGCAGTGACACTGAGAAGAGCCGACTCATTCACTGCCACATAAAACCAGTTGGTGACAGAGCCTGTAAAGGGAAGCACAACCAGCCTGCCAATGTGACTCCAGCAGCATTGACTCTAGTACACAGCGGTGACCCAAAAGGTCTTCATTTGCTACCCAGCCCCCACACACACACCTCGAGTTACCTCAGCCTCTTTGCATTACTGATGCTGTCTTCTTCCCCTGGTCTAAAGCACCTCTTGATCATTCATTAGATATATGTCAGTGCACAATTTAACTGATAGCCAAGGAAGCTGAGTCCAGCTTTCAAAAGCTGGCCTTATACTCTGGCCAACTTATTTGGCATGATTTTGGATGATAAAATTAATGGCTGCCCATGAACTTAACCCCAGCCCTAACTCTTCCTGAAAATAAGGTCATTTTGGGCTTGCACATGGCACAGGATGGTACTCAGAGCACCCATCACTGCAAACGTTACTGTGGACAGCAAGAACACAAACTAGTAGTGGCCATGGACATTAGGATCAGTTCATCAATGACAGTGATGGTAATAATAATAATCATAGCCCTTGTCAAGCAGTGAGTGAGTGTAAGGCACAGAACCAGAGGCAGACACAGTACTGCCAGGTTGCAGTGCCCCCGCCTCACCTATCATGGACACCCTGCTCCAGTGGAATATTTCCACTTGATTTTTCTAGCACAGGATCGCAATGTGGCAAGTAAGGCATGTAGAAACAGACAGCTAACCATATCCTGTGAACTGATCAGGCACTGGGGACATTATAAGAGAAGTAAAGGCCAAATAAATCTTTTCTCTTTGCAGGTGTCCTTTGATGAAGTGCTACCTGGGCAGCACCTGGCATGTGGCTGCTGAAGGGCATACTCAGGAAAGCCAAGGCTGCCAAACATCATGTTACTACCCATGGAGATGATGTACTCTTGGGGCTGTGCTGGGGCTGCCTGCCCTCTCCCCTCCAGGCTCCTTCTCAGCCCTTGCAAGGCCCATCTCCAGTGAGCCAGTTCTTTTGGAGCACAAAGTTTGCTGGAGGGCACTTCAAGGAATTCTCTCCATGCCTCCTTTGCAGAAGGATGTAAAGGAGTGTTCACAAGTGTCAGGTCCTATAAACTCACTGACAACCAAACAGGCGCTCAGAGCCACTGCTTATTTCTTTTGTCATTTTCTTATGTTCATTCCTCTTCAATTTATAGGATAAAGCCAGTCTGCATGAGGGGATTTCCCTTCATATCACCAGATAAAGCTGATTCTGCTCTAATTTTATATATTTTAAGCACTTTTTTGCCCACATAGAGAAACTATGGTTATGGATATTTTCATTACAGTCCTTCATTCATGGTATCTAGGACAATGCTAAACTATGTCACAGAGAGGAAACTAAAACCCAGTTGCCATTTCATGAAATCAACAATACTACAGATAATCAAAGAACTAAAACAGTGCACCTCTGCAACAAGAACATTAATACTGAAGTGCTTCCAGCAATTGACCCCCATCTAAGGAAGGGCTGTTATTTCACTATGGCATTTTTTACAACATATTTGAAGCATCTAATGAAAGGTTCTGAAATAAAGCTATCAACCAGCCTTGGAAGCAGCTATCCTCTACACAGATGTCACTGCAGATTACACCCAAATATATGAATTATGATACTTCTTTCTGCTCAGTCATGCGCTGGTACTTAGACCTAGTAATAGGAATTCTTTGAATAACAGATACTATCATTTCTTCTTTCTGGAAATACAGAAAAAAAGCTTTCAAGGATAATTTAATGGCATCTCTATGGATAGACCACCTGGACATATCTCTGCATGTTTATCTGCTCTCCATAGTCTTGCTAATAGAAAGCTGATTATTCCACACGTATGATACTAGAAATCCCTTTAGCTAAAGTAACAGCGTTTCTGCTAATGCCAACTGAAATGTGCTCCAAGGGGCAGAAAGACCCAACTGTCAGCTCACTTGCAGTCACAAGAAAGAGTTAAAATGAAAAGCTCCTCTAGTAACTTTAGAGAACTAAAGAAGTCTTTGAAAAGAATTTTCCATTCAAGGAAATAATCATGATTTCTGCTGGGGAAGACATTTCATATATCACATACCAAACAAGCAAGAATATTTAACTATTAATTCTGTTCCGGAGGAAAAGAGCATTAAACAACCATACATGCAATCTGTAGTGGAATGAACAGAGAAAAACAACATCCGTGTATGATTGTATTGTCCGCATCCCTCGTACATTTCTCTAATCTATGAGTTTTTAGATTAATACTTTTAAAAATGAGAGCAATAATATGCAAAATATAAAAGATGTATGTATGTGCTTTCTGTTTTCACATCTTAGACTTCTTCAACTCCACTGAAGACACTGAGATATATCACTTTCTGTTAATATTTATGGAAGAATATAATTTGCACTTTCAAAAAATTCATTCATCTTTGATAAGAAAAGGAAATTACCTGCGATAATGTACAGTGAACTGGCTCTCTAATGTAGTACAAGCTACCTCGAGGGCAGAGAGAAAACTACATGATGACATTTCTCGTTATACATGTGTCAAAATAAGACTCATTAACTTAAAGACAAAACTGCTTAGAGCTTATTATTATAACTGGAATAGGAAACTCAGATCCTGCCCTCCCCAAGCTGAAAATCAAATCAAATAATAACCCAAAGGTGTTCACTCACTGGAAAAGTGGAACTGTTTTCTTATCACTAACATCCTACCATTGTAAATGGTTTAAAATGCAAGTTTAACAATGCTAGCCTGAGCAGGAAAAGGATAAGAAAAACTCACATTTTACACTCGGAAACAAAAGCAGCAGGCTCTTGATTAGAAAAATTCTCCTAAAGTTCATTTTCAGGTCAGAAAAATCCAATGTCCCCTTGTCTGATGATAGCTCCTAGAAGGTGGAAGGATTTTCTGCTGTGAGCAGGCAGTGGTGGGACGTGTCGGCACAGCCCTCGTGCCCTCCTCCCCTCCTCCCGCTCTCACCCCACCACTTCTCATTTCTAGCACAGGCACAAAAACCACGGGCAGAAGCACCTCTCAATGCAGCATTCTATCAGGATGCGGACAACATGCAGCAACAAGGAAAATGCCCACTAAAATGTAGAACACCCCTGAAACCCATCTACCCAGCTGGAGGCCCTCATCCTCTTCAGTGTTCACCCAAAGAGTTCAACTCCAGCACCTACATCCATCCTAGTGGGATGGATTCATTTTTGTGGTAAAGGTGAAGGGAATTCTTCTGCTCCCCCACAGCTTCAGCAGCAGCAAGGGGACAACAAGCCCAGGACCCCCAGTGGGGAGCAGGTAGCCAGTGGTGGTTGGACAATGTGTAGAAAGGAGATACACTTCCCTTGGAAACCATCAGTATCAGCTTCACATCAATGTCTGATCTATGAAAGGCTGGCTAGTGCCACAGAAAGGGGCCCTGCAGGCACAGTTTGAGCAAGCTGAGAAATCAGGGGATGAAAACACTGCCTTGTGTCTGGGCAGAAACCAGCCCTGAAGCTGGTTGGTGTGGGAAAGATGTTCATAAAAGAAGCTGGGAGGAGGCATGGGAGTTAGCTCTAAAAACACGTGAGAAGCTTATAAAATCTTTATTCCTGATTCCAATATCAAACAGATGCGGTGGTGAGGATTTGGAATCATATCATCCCAGCACAATCCCTCTGCTACAGTGGCCACTGAAATCTTCCAAGATTTTGTTGCTGATGTAGATCAAGAAAGACAACAGCAAAAGAAAAAAAAGCTGTGTCACCGGAGATGTGCAATATTAGATGAACCTTTTTCATTCGTTCATGTCATTATTCTTCCTTGAAGTTATAAGAAGACCTGGTAAGACACCTCCCCTTCTCTGGCTTTATCATCTTTTAACTGGTACTAATGCCGGTAAAAACTACCCCTTTTGGAATAAAAGGAGGAAAAGTTACCTGAGGTGAAACATGCTGTGGTCACAGTATTGCGTCCTCTGCACAGCACAGGAAAGCCTAGCTTTTCTTCCTTCTGTTACTGTTTCCTTACAAAGAACACACAAAAGAGGCACACACAAAAGGAGAGAGGAGGCAGCAGCAAGATAATATTTCTGTGTCCAACCTCACTTTGTGGAGAAGAGCGAGCTGAGGGCAGAGGCTACTGTGCCCAGGCATCTCTCCAGCTAGGCACACTGTGCCAGCAGCGCCAGCCCCAGGGGGTTTTGAGGACCTCTTACCCCAGCCACACTGGCAAGGACATGCAAGGTCTGCACACTTGGACACATCAGCTTCCAGCCCCAGCCTCAGTGCCTACAAGGCTTTGGGCAAAGGCAGCAACCCCAATTTCTCCTGCTGGGTCCATGAGGCATAGAGGAGGGGGAGGCCCCTGACACACTGAAACCACTCCCCACACTCTGCTCATCCTTGTCTTGGTTATTTCTCAAGGCAAAATCCCTCAAAGCCACCACCTGCTTCGAGATACCTCTGCACTTTGTTTGCCAGATTGCCAACACAGAGGGGCAGGGACTATCATCCTGCTCCATACACACACCGAGCCTGCTTGGTGCCGTCCTGCTCACTGGATGCTGCAGAGCTGCAGGCAGAAATGGGGATTGGTACAAATGAAGTACAAATAGAAAGACACGTATGTGTGGAAAGGTGAAAGAGAGTCAAAGATTGATAGCAGCAGAACAAGGCTTACAAAGGATGCCCTGTACTAGTAAGGTCACTACTTCCAGTTAATCAAACTTGCCATGCAGAGATGCCCATGCATTTGTAAAAGCACAGCTGAAATGATGCAGACTGGAAGCCCCTATGCTGCAGCTGACCAGTTATATAGCACATCAAGCGTGGCATCCATTTTTCCTCTTAGAGCAACAGGTAGACAGGAAAAGACACCACTCCTAAAAGACATAAAAAGTGCGTTCAAAAATGAGTTTGCTGTGAACAGTGAAGAGGCCCTCGAGAGAGGTGGTGAGGACACCGTAGTTGATGTCCCCTGTCCACTGTTCACCACAAATGTCACCCCAAACCTTTGTATTTGAGTACTTGGAGTGTGTGCACAAAATCAACTTGCTTAGAGATTTTGTGTAACAAAAGCACAGCTGATCCAGCAAAGGGGCACACCACCCACCTGTAGCAAGGATTCCCCATGAAATCCTGGTGTGTGCATGGTCCATTCCACCAAATGGCCCCTTTCCCAACCAGCATCAGAAAAGTCCTACACCATCACACCCAGCTGGACAAGGGGAAAGCAACCCATGTCTCTAACCTCAGCCTTCCTGCCAGATGAGAAATGGAGAAATGGCAATAACCTTTCAGCTTTACTCTCCATCTCTTGACGAGCAAGACAATGTTGTGTTGTAGTCTTGGCTACCCAGTTTAGAAGGAAGGGATTTTCTTCATGTTACTGAGAGGAAACACTGGAATTTTCTGCACTGATGTCTCCAGTTTCCTACAAGTAAGGCATTAAGGAGAGGGTATCTGATGGTACCTCTGGGAAGCACAGCAGCTTTGAGCTACTGCCACAGAGGAGCTCTGAAGGCCAGCATGTACCTTCAACAGTGTGACATGGGACACATGTCATGAAAACAGCTACAGCAGAGAACACCGGTAAGGCAGCCCCACATTGACTGGCAATGCCCCCCAAGGATATAGCAAGAGCTGTTGCTGGTAGCTGTGTCTTGCCACAGCCCAAACACCAACCCCCAGCTGAGCAGGATGAGGTGAGATCTGCCAGGCCTGCAGATAACTATGCCCTCATGCTCTCCTGCTTGCTGCAGAGACTCTCTCATACCCATTACACAGGAAGTAATACTTCTGGGCTAAATGCAAGCCAGGTAGAAAAATAGGGCATCGATAGAAAAGTAAATGTCTCCCAGTATGGTGGTGTTGGACCTGTCTTCAGTTAGGCCTGTGATGCTTAAGGCTCTTTCATTTAGGCTAAGGATGCTTGGCCCATCAAATTGCAAGACATCTCTGTCTTATGACAGACAGCAGAGCAGAGGAGTGAAGTGCAGCTGTGACAATGGGCTATGTCTTTGCAGTCACTGCTGTCTCTGTGGTATTGTTTCCACTGCAAAAGCCACAAAGTACTGTAGTCATATGCATTTGCTTTTGTTGCTTGCTCCCATATACTCTTCCGTTCACTGTGTTACACTAAGATGTTTCCTCACAGGGAATGTATCATACTTACATTTACATGTAAAGGTGGCAGACTCCCACACACCTGAAGGCAACATCTCAAGAGACAATATATAGATGTTCCCACCTCTAAGCCTTCAACTTAATGATGAGCCAATAAACATTCATGCCTGAGGCTTATTAAAATAAATAAATTTTAAAAAGAGATATAATTTTATTAGATCTACTAAAGTAGAAGTGTACTTGTACTCTTCCTTCATAAGAGTACAAGTACACTTAGCATGTTCTCGGGAAAGTCAGGTTGCAATAAGCCAGGGTGGGTTTGTAGTCCACCATCTCCTCTGGATTGAAGTTTAGGTTGTATTAAGTGGTATTTGCGTGCAATACTCTTCCCTGGGAAAAGTCAGACAACCTGCACCCACCACCACATCGGGACCCACACCATGAAAAATGATGAGCACTGCAAATTCGTATCTCTCAACTTCTCACAATGACAGGCTCAGTTTGTGAGGAGAAGAGCTAATGTGATATTGACTGGAACACCAGATGAGCAATACCATGTGCAGAGGAAACTTTGGCTAAGCCTAACCTTATTCTTGGGAGCATTCCTGGGTCTGCACCCTAGCCTGGGCTCCATCTGGGCTGCCCTGGATGGTAACTGCAGGTTTTGTGATGGCACATTCCCTTCCCCTCTACTGTAGCTTTTTGGAGGACGGGGGAATGTGGGCAGTGGCTGGAGTGGGGAAGAAGCAAAGTCAGCTCTGGCAGTGGGAGCTGCCCCTGCACTGTGAAATGCCAAGGAACTGCTGGCTTTCACACACATTTTCAGCTCTTTGACTGATGAAGGCCACATACCAGCTCCTCTTCACTTCTGCCTTATACAAAGCTAAGAAAGGAATTCAGCTTGAATGAAGCACTACAAATATGAAAACTAAGAACTCAAAAAGAAAGCTTTGGCCAAGGGTTTAGTGGGGATGCTGACTCGGCGGCTTGGAAGCAGTTACATGCAAACTGAAAGCACTGCTTTGCCTATGTGCCACGGAAATATTCCAAAAATAGTGACACACCCTGTCAGTAATGCAATGGCTGCTGCAGAATCTTTTTTATCCTTCTCTAAAAATAGTAAATGGAAGCTTACAAACCGTGACTAGTGCAGAATAGCCCTCAGATGACAATTCAAAGAGAAATTGTTCCCTTGTGATGTCTCTAACAACATATCATCAGCCTCGGGTGTTCTCTCTCTCAAACTTGTTTTCTTCTTTTCCACCTGTAGCAATGAGTCAACAGCTAAACCTCATGAAAAAGCACCCAGTTTAAGGTTTCAGTATAGTCTGAAGGAATGTAACCTCCTTAGACAGAACAGTCTGACAATATGTGGTTCAAAATGACTGAGGGTACAGCAGCTGTCATCATCCCATCAGACAGTTATTCCTGTAGATGGTGCATTTCAGTCTTGCTTATCTGACATTGATTTCCATCATCTATAATGATCCTAGATCTAGAATGTAACTTTCAGCATCTTATTCTAGTAATTTCAGTGACATTACTACTGCTGCAGAACATGCTGCAGTCCAAGCAAAAGTTTGCTGGCATGATGCAATTAATCTGTCTTACACACGAAGCCAGACAGATAAACAGAACAGCCTCTTCTAGTTTTAGCAGTGATAAATACACAGAGACCTGTATTAGCTACAATATGACACTTCATCACCAGAGAGGGGATGGACTAGCTACCCAAGGAAGATTAACAGCTTCTCTTTGAAATTCATCCAGGAAAGACAATTTGCTACTACTATCTAAGAAATGTTTTGGTCAAGATC